CATTTGAGAGCACAAGGAAGGTAAGCCAGAAAGAGAGGATACCAATGAAAGAAGAAAAGCATGAAAAGACAGTATTTATGAAAAAGTGAAGCAAAGCTTCTTGTGAAAAAAGGAAGGAGGTTGGTTTGCGACCTTGCCGATTCTGCTTTAATCAAATATTGGTTTTCAGCTGATGGGCTCTGGAGGAGCTCTCTCAGTTTCTGCTTTGATGCAAGTGAACAAATGATCCACAGTGAAGAATCACTTGAGCTTCATGCACAAAGATATAAACCGAAGAGGAATGCAAAAAAAACATTGTTCCCCCGCCGACTGCAATTACTTGTGATGAGTGTGTATGGATTAAGTAGGATATTTGCACATTTTTGGCTTAAGATTGATGTCATCCTTGTAGATCTCTGGAATACCTTTTCATCAGGACCTAATGCTTTTATGTCAGGGCCTTTGTTCTTCTTTCTTTGCAACATCGAGTCCAAACTTTCCTTTCAGTCTCTCCTTAATTACAGTCATGATCAAAAGGCCTTTCAGTCAACATTTGACAAATTTGCCCAAAGAACTATGTACAGAGAGAACGGAGATAGCAGCTTATAATTGTTGTCTTTTTGGAAACCCCTATTAATACCATATGCACACTTTATATCACATATGCAATGCAGTACATCTGACATCATATATTAAGGGATTACCTTTTTCACATTATTCATTATGTACTTTATGAGCCTGTATGTTAGAGCCTACAGTAATGGGGATGCAATTAAAAACATGTCATTGTGATGGAGAGCCAAGCTTTAATGGCATGTAAGCTATCGGCTTGTTCCCTCCTGAGCCAGCAAAAGGATATAAAAACAGTCAATCAAACCTAGTGTGTTGTAGCTACTTGCACCACAGATTAAAAGAGCAATCAGGGATCTTTTCAATAATTTTTGCAAAGACATCAAAGAAATACTGCAGGAGTAAAAAGTTACAGTAGGCAGATGAACAAAAAAGTATTGTCTGGAACCACAAAAATTTGGCTTTAAGGGCCTTTTTTTTATCCAGTGCTAGATGAAATATCTGTTTTCTGTCCGCAAGGACTGCATGATTGATTTTCCAAAAAGTCTGATTTGCCTGATTTGTACTTGAGGCCAGAATCTTCACACCTGTATGAAAGAGCCTGTTCATTGAGAAGTCATGCCTGGGCTTTGTTTATCTTTACATCTGGCACACAGTCTTTGAGCCTGTTCCCACCTGGCTTACAACCAAACCCAAATGAAAACATCAAGGTGATATCTGCAATCTGAAATAACTGTTTCCTTGTAAGTGTCATTGTTTTATTTACTTACTCCATTTGACAGACAACATTACTGGAGATGCCAGGAGAGAAACTCAGCATATCACCGAAGTTACATCTTAAGAAAAATGTTGTTTTTCAGTGAATAAGTGAGAAGCTGGACAGCAACAAAAGAAACCAAACAAAATGCACTGATGCTATACTAAGTTTTGTTAGGTTTTATCTTATAAATATTACAGTATTGTCAAAAAGCAAAAATATTAAGTAGATATAATATTTAAAAAATGTTAATTGGTCTTTGCTAAACTCCTCCCCCAATTGTGATTGTCCTATTGTAGGTTAGCTTAAGTTAATCTTCATCCAATAAAGTTTTTCCTTTGTAAAATTAAAAAATATCACTTTTATAAAAATATGAACAAAAATGCATGGCATACATTTCTGCATATAGAGCAACAAAATCCATGTAGGGAGAAGAAACATGGGACACAAGAGATGAGTTTGTTTCCTGTTTCAAACCAATTATTGGCATTTCTTTTATCTATGGTAGTTATTTTAACACAAACCATGATCCTTCTCTAAACTTAACCAAGTTGTCGTGTGGCTAAACCTAAACCATGACTGTTCTATAACCTTAACTCCATGTTTATTGCTGTTACCATGGCCTGCAGCTGCTGGGGTGCTTGTTCATGGAGAGCTCCCATGTGTGGTATCAGAAGGCAGAGACAAACAACCTACCAACCTAACAATGGCCTACATGCCTTGTTTTAGGTTGGGGGACAGAAAGCTTGACGGGCACACAGAGGGGTGAACTATCAGAAAAAATACAGTACTCAGCTGAAGCTCAGTTATTTTTGGTGACCACTCCTTCGGCCAGTTTTGTTGTCCTTGGAACCATCCTGAGAAACTCAGAACTGCTGTGGAACAGTTTGTACTGTATTACATTATACAGGATGAACACATGGCACAAACTTAACCTTCTTGTGTTTTTGTTTCTATTGCAAGCGAGCAACCCCAGAATGAATCATCCCACTGGGTATGATTCACATCCGTAAATCAGATTTATGGCAATAAAAAAACAAGCAATCAAGCTGAAAATGTGTTTCACATATATACAGTATTTGTCTGCAAAAGTTGCGCTGGGGAAACGGTTGCTCATCCAATTAATGCACTAATAAACTTCCAGTGGCACGCTCCTTCTCTGCAGCACATCACACCCCTCTTTGTTCCTCTGATGGATAGACATGTGGTTATATGAATACTGAATGATCATCAGTGGTCAAAAAATACAGCTTAAACAAACTGAGGACAGGCTGGCAATATAGCAGTGTAACCTCTGAGAAAGCAAGTCATCCACATTTCAACACAGCGTGCTGATACAGTATATTGAGCCGGTGTTGATAAAAGCATATTCTTGTGCTTTTTGTTCTGCCAAAGAGCGTCTATGGGAGTGCTGACAAGTGCTACTACGAATCATATAAAACAGATCACTTTTGTTTCATCAGCTGTGGGTTTCTGCACTGCATTTCACTTCAGTTGCTTCTTGTTCTATGCTTTTATTTTGACATACGTCCACTGCCTTAAGTCACTCTCATCTGCCCCACCTTAACCATGCTCATCAGCTGCATTCTTCACTTCCACCTGTTTGTGATTAGTCACCTAGAGACCATGTGTTTAAAAGGTAGGGTTGGCAATTCCTTCGAGAAGCATTTTTGCTACATTTCTTGAACTTTTCTTTTCATCCTGATGGCAATGAACACATTAAATGCACTGACATCTGTCATCAGCTGAAAAACACCTGACAAATAATGTTACTCATCCCAAGCAAAACCACTGAATGGCCTACCTGCCTGTCAACCTAACTTCCTATGTGCGTGCATTCTGCTCGTGCACTTAATGCATGAGCCAAGAGTCTCTCACAAGGTGTTGCAGTTGCAGGCAGATGTGTTACTGTTCTTTTTTTGATAGCTAAAGCTAGCGAACTATGGCAGAGAACATATCCACAGCAGCTTTTGTTCACAGATGGAGACTGTTGTTACATGCTGGGCCTTCCCCTTTAAGATGTATGGCCTTATAGGTAATGTTATTGTTGTTGACAGAAGTTGCTGCCTGCAGTATGAGAGCGAGAAGACACCCACATGGAACAGACTCCTTTTACATGCAGGCAGACAGTAGTAAGTGTATAGATAGGACTGTAATGCAGTTAACTTGGTATCAAAGACCACATGCAGTGTTTGTGTTACCAAGATGGAATAAAGCCTGTGTTTTGAACGACATTAGCCAGCCTCCCTTTTCCCCACCAGAAAAGCCCAGACTTCTAAGGCTAGTTACGAGTGTTGTGTCAAAATCTGTTTGTGTTTCCCCTAAACTACCTTTAAGCCAGTAGTTCATGCTCCATGTTTGCCAGATAGTTTTTTTTTTTTTTTTGCTTTTCTCTCAGGCCCTCTATGCCAAGCCCCTCTTCATGACAACCTTCTCCAAGCCTAACATTTTCATGCTTCACTCCATGCCACATCTGCAGTAACTGCCCTTTATGCCAAACCACACTTCTATTTGAGCAGTGCTTGGAATGACTACTCTCATGCCCTCATTAAGTGGTGAGTGTGCAGACTGACTCACTTATAGTTTGCTTCAATCTACTTAGTGTGTTAGCTAATATGAGCTGGACCTATGTAAATGTGATTCACACTTTCTCTGGACAAAATCCAACTGACACTTGCTTACTACCATGCTAGCTAACAAGACAGTGTTGCTGAAATGCATATTTTTCACATATAATGAAAAGTAGCTGTCTCACCTTGTGTCCAGTAGCTGTGCTCAGTGAGGCTTAATATTATATACAAATCAAAAATGATTGTTTCCCTTAATTAATTATCTAGAATTTCAGACTGTGTATATATATGTGTGATCACTGTTCATGTCATTTATATCAAGGCACAATATGCTATTGTGAGAATGATGTACTTATTATACATGCAGCCTCAGCAAGATAATGTGTATTGAATTCATTTGCTTAAAACAAGAAAATATTATAAATCTTCCTTCTCGGGTACTTAAAATTTGATCTGTTATTTTGACCTGCTTAATTGAAAATGGTCTTGTAAGCAGAATGGCTCCAGGGTGTTGTCATTTCAGTTGCTGGCTCAGGTGGAAGTCTTCTGGCAGTCTTTCTCTTGATTGTGACAGCGCCTGAAGGGACTGAGTGACAAGCTTTGTCACTGTGACTAATACTCTGCAGCCACTGGTCCCAGTAGGCATTAAGAGAGAACAATGGGGAAATTAATCAGGCATTGCTCTGCGCTATGTTAATAATAACACATACAGTTAAACACATGACTAAATGCACAAAGATAATAATAAAATAATGCATTTTTCTGATTGTAGACTTGTTCACATTAGATTAGTCTTTCTGGAGGACCCCTTTTGTTTTCATATTTCCCATACTGTGAACTAATCCTGTAATCTGGCTTTTGGGAAATCTGTTTCATCTTAACCAGTCCAATTTGTCATTTCAGTTTTGCTCTTGCACATTCCATATTACATACAGTAGGTCTACACCCCTCAGCTTCTTGAGTCTATCAGAGGCCTGAGTGTGACTCAGCTGCAGACTATCTTTCTTTTCATGGGCCATAATCAGGCCCTAGACTGAGTATGCCTTGTCAGCAATTTCTATCATGCGATCAATATGTATGACACAGTCTATGCAAAGCACAAAACATTCTGTTTTCTGTTTTAGGAGTGCATGATTCCCATCAGGAGAAGCTCATAACAGTGTCTGCAGAAGGAATGGTCCACAGTCCAGACTTTCCACACACATATCCCAGGAATATTGTGTTAGTCTGGAGACTAGTGGCACCCAGCAACATGAGGATCCAGCTCACCTTTGATGAGAGGTTTGGTCTGGAGGACCCTGAAGATGACATATGCAAGTAAGAACACAAATAGTTCACTGTCACTAGTATGTCAGTGTAAATACAAGCAGGTCAGAATACTATTGTAGCGTTGGGGTTAAGAGAGACACTGAGTTCCTCCGTTATGTTTATGTTTTGTTATGGGGGGTTGGGACCAGGTGGGCATGGAGCACCATAACAAGGGGTTCTGGTGGCAGTACTAGGCCAGAACAGGTAGGTAAATAGAATGGGCATGTTCAGTAAAAAGCAGCTATCCAGGGCTGCACAGTGTATGAGGCACAGAAGTTTTGGTGTCTGGCCCCTTCCTCAGCCCAGCCGATATTGCACTGTTTTGTTTGTCTCGAAAAGATGAAGAAAATATTTGATTTGGGAGGATGATGGTGTTTTTGTCATCTTATCAGTAATACAGACAAACATCTTGATTGACCACAGTAGATTTGTCAGTGGTTCTTGATTTATACCAGAACATGAGTATTCTAATGCATCACATTATTTTCCACATTGTTCTCACCCTTTCTTGTTCCTGTCCTCCACCGGGCTTTCTGAAATAATGAAATGTGTGCCAACAGGTTAGTATTTACTAAAAGTAGATTTTATTGTCAAAGTGAATTGCCACTTGTGAACCTACCTTTGATCTGCCATAGTGGCTACTGAAAACCCAGGAGCAGATTGATTTTTTTTGTCCAAGACACTATGATGTGGTTCAGACCAGCATGTTTTCCTTGATGTAGTTAGAAATTGTTAGTTCACGGTTCAAAACACAGACACTTCACCTTGTGCCTGGCAACATATATACAAAAACACATATATACATAGAGTACATCCACCACTTTATTGAGGAGTCCACTTTCATTTAGTTCCTGGGTTTGCCTCTGTTGCCATACAGTTTAAATGGGGATTCCCAGCCCCAGTGATTATGTTCAGTGCCTTACTGTCAATATATCACATCTGACTGGATAGCATGGAGAGGCCCAGTCAGTGGAATGTGGAGATAAACTGGGGGAGGGTGACCTTACTAGTCATTCCTGGAGAGCCCCCTAATGGATGGCAAGGTGAATAACAGCAGCAGTTCTCTCCAGAGGTGTTGGACATGTTAGCACTAGATGGAAAGTATTTTTCAAGATGTTAAATGAACATTAGGAAATTTAAGGAATATGTGGCCAAGAATCAAGACACCTCCGCTGCTGTGATGGTTCGTGGAAGGATCAATAAAGTGTTAGTGATTCTGACTGTATTTATGTAAGTGCAGGTAGTTTGAGCACCCGGGCACAGCAGGGACCCGGCCCACCTTTAAGACAAGCTGAGCCCCTTTAGATGAATGAGGTTAGTGTTGCTGTCAAAACTGTGTTGGGGGAAAGTTCCACAACAGGGCAGGGTGCAGATTGATGACTTTTTTGTCATCCTGTCTTTACAAGACTGCACTAGTCAGTGTCCTCAGGAAGTGGGATGAGAGACAATAACAACCTCCTTTTCCAGGGTCATACAAGTCAACGCCACATCTAGTGCTCCAGCCCTTGTGTTGTTTTCTTTACCCCAACTGAGGCCCAACAGGTTTTGATCAGATCCCAAGATACACTTGGCAGGGTTGGCAGACAGATGAGTGCAGCATGCAATCACAGGCAGAAACAGACACAGATTCACTATCTACTTTTCTCTTCTTTGATGCTCTTTCCTTCCCTCAAACCCTTTTTGTCACACACACATAGATAAGCCTCTGGCCTAGTCTGCTTATCTGTTTTATCTTTCACGAGTGTTTAAAAATTCACAAAATTTCCCTTTAAACCTCCACTCTGATTTTGCTTCACCAAAAAAGATTCTTACATTGTTATTACTGATATGCTGCTTTTACTTTTGTGTCACTTCACAATGTGATGGAAATAAGACTGTAATCTCCTGTCCGGCGATTCACAGCAACGGCCGGGGATAAAACAAATGACAGGGGAGATGTGTTCAGCTCTGGTAGAAACCCTGAAGTGAGAAGTCTTTGATAAGATGAGATGGAGGCTGTGTAGCCATGATGCTCATCTGCTATTCTGTTTGTCTGCACACGGTGAAAAGCATTCTTACAGATCCTCTGGAGGAGAGGCATATTGGAGAGGAATCAGTGTTGCTGCTGGTTGGCATGGCAGCGAAGTCGTGCTTGACAGCTCACAGACAGGCTGTTCTCAGAAAGGCATTTATGCTCCGTCTCCAGTCTGAAAGAAGAGGACTGAGAAACAGTGTTTGTGTTGCTAATATGCTCATTTCCATGGTAGATACTGCATCGATTAATAATGTACAAGGAAAAACCTATGTAGGGGAAAGCTTTGTAAATATTAAACACAGTTCTCTTGCAGGATCCAGGAAGGTACTCCTTTCTGGTATTACCAGTTTAAGATTTCTTTGTTGTTCTGGTCATGTTCACTGTGACTGTATGCACTGATCAGTATGTATGTCAGAGCATTTGTAAATGTGAGAAACTCCTGTTCGATGCAGTGATTCTGAACATATGGCAAAGTGTAATGATCAGGGTGTCCTGCATTATTGATGAGCCATTTGTCAAAGCTCTGGAGCTGTCTGAGGAATCCTTCTCTCTTCATGAACCTCCATAAACTGAAATATTATCCTTTTCCAAACCATTTCATGCCAGTGTGGTTTGGATTTAGAAAGAGGAATGCTTTACAGTTCATTCAGATGTCTAACGTTTCTACATTTAAACTATAAATACATGGTTTTGCATGAAACAGTTTCATTTCACCTTTCCCAGTAAACTGTGTAGATTACAAACTTCCTGTATAACTTTCCAAATCAAAGTCAGTAGAGTCAGTACATGCATCAACCCCTACACACACACACACGCATACACACACGCGCCCCTTCAGTTTATTTAACATCACAGAAAATCCATTTTTAGTCTTGCTCATGTCCCTCTATGTTGTTTTACTGAAACCAGCTTTAACTGAGTGTGTGAAGCCTGTGCTAAATGTAAACAATGTCCTTGAAATCCAAATATCCGAATTGGCAGCCCTGAATGAGAGGTTAGCGTGCATGTTGACACAAATGGCAAAGTGATTAATCCCAGACTGTGGAACAAGGCGGTATTGAATGCAATGCAGTCACTGGTTACACACTCAAGTGTAAATAATAAAGGCTGAACTCTTGAACGGCGTCTTAAGTGCTGAGGTTGGTCAATGTTTGCTTTGGCACACCAAAAGTCTGGAGCAGGGCCATATGCCTCTGCTCTTCATAATGTTTACTGGCATTACGGGCTGGCAGGGTGGCTGGTGGAGAGAGAGGCACCATCAAGCTCAAGGTTTGATTAAAAACTATATTTTGGAAATATTAGCTGTGCACTTTATTACTTATTTGTTGGTTTAAATCACCTCATTACCCCCCACCCTCATTTTACATCCATCATTTATTTTTTTCCTCTTTAATTTTTATTTCAATTTATTAAAATGTATTTTATTATTTTTTTTGTTTGCTTGTGTTTTGGTTTGCTTTGTAGACTGCATAAAGTTGGACACACCCACACTTCACACCCTCACACACACACAAACCAAATGTTTTTACACTACCTCTACATCTGTTTTGCCCTGCATCTTTTGTCTTGTCTTCCATGTTCTCTCTTTGTTAACATGCTATTTTGTGTTGCAAGTAAAAAAAAAAAAAAAAGAAAACCTGTATTTCAGTCACAACATATAGCATCAGTGTT